AAATATGGGTGAAATAAAAACACTTTCTTGCTGTGATCTTCAAAGGATCTGAGAGAATTAAGCACTCAGCTTCCAAAGTCCTGGTCCTGTTCTTGTCTTCACTGTCTGGGTCACAAGTTATGTTCTAAGGAACCATAGCAATAAAGTGTGGAAAATACACTTTAAAAATGTAATAATCGGTTCTTTCCTGTTGCCATTTCTGAAGATAAGGTGTTTCTAACCTTTACAGAGGTCTTTCTCCAGTCACAATTCTCTTGCCTTGTATTCTCAATATTTAATTCAAGACTTGATTTAGGGTTGCCAGGTGTCTGGTTTTGAACCAGACAGTCCAGTATTTGAGCTTTCTGTTCAGGAAACAAATTGCGAAATTATAAATGTCCGTTATTTTCTAACTAAGATGTAATGTAGATTGTGATGTAACGTCAAGTGAGTCCGGTATTTTTCTGAAAACCATCTGGCAACCCTAACTTGATTTGCTGCTTGATTTTTCTGTTTCCCACGCACTTAGGTTAAGTCTGATTTGCACACACTATACACCTAGGATTAGACTGTATGCTTTAAAGCCCTGCACAGGGGCATCTCACACAGCTGTACCAGTCCTGCATGGGCTACAAGGTGCCTTATTGAACCACTCTATTGGCTAATGTGAAGGGGGTATAGGCCCCCAAAGCTCAGTTTCTGACCACCCTTTTCTTGGCCAGTCTGTTCTCGGGAATCTGCAAAGATGATTAGTACCTAATCACAAAGATGTTGTGATTGTCCATTGCATACTGCCCTACCCCATTACACCCAGGAGAGTCGGTAGCTATTTGGCCCTTGCCCTTCAGTATCCGTTTTATGTGAGCTCATCTTTTCCTTTCTCATGCTGTATAATTCCTACATGTGTGTTTGGGTTTTTTTTTTCTTCTGCTGCTCCTAGGTGTCTCTGTTTCTCTGGCCTTGCCTAGTTTTGACGCTTTGATCTGGCGCAATTATTCCTTGTTTTGTTTGTTTTCATGTTGGTGTAGGATGCTTGTTTGTATTGCAGACAGAAGAGCATTTGAGGATGGACGGTGACTATGGGGATGAGGATGGTTTTAATTCTGCAACTGCTAGTGAAGGGAGCTTGGATGTAAGTACTAACATGGCTTATAGCTGCCCATGCCGCTGCTGCTGCCCCCTTAGACTCTGCAGTTCAGCTCAGCAGAAAATATTCTAGGTGCTTGACTAAAAAAAAAAAAAAAATTAAATGCAGTAGTGCACTTTATGGTGGGGTTGCCACATTGCTTGGATGTCTTAGCACACAGATCAGGCTTTTCTGACCACCTAAAATGCAACACAATGTCTTCAAATAACCACCACCTACCCCTGACTTCAGTGTAGCCGGGTATTCATCCAAGGACTTTAGTGATGAACTGTATTCAAATACTAAGTTTCTTTTGTGGCCTAGTGCACTCCTTTTTTGTCTTTCAGTGTGACTCCAAATACTTTTATACTTGAATTTTTGCTTCTGTGTTTAACATTAGAAATATCCGATCCTCATTCTGTGGGATGAATATGGCAAGATTTTTGGAGAACCTAGACACCCACTGATTATATCAGATATCAACTAGATGCTCACAGTTCTCACTTTTTGGCCTTATAATCTATTAGCTAATTATTAATCTCGATAATTACCTTTATATTGGATGACTTTTCAAAATCTTTGGAAGACCATATTGGTGACATCTCAGGGTAATTGAAATGTGAGCTCCTTAGTGAGATAGGAAGGTATGTCTAGGAAGGTGAGGCTGAGGCTGAAATCATGCAGCTCAGTGGCTGAGAGGGGGTGGGGGTGGGGAAGAGTGTCACATAATTTGAGGTAGGAACAATGATTGCCAATTCCAAACTGGGGACAGTCGTGAAAAAGAGACCTAGGCAGGAGGAATGGATGGAGCACATGTGACAGGAGTGGGTGGATATTTCGTTTGAAAGCCATAGTTGAATAAGTCCAGAGAGAATTTTCACAATCACATTTTCACTACAGAAAAAGTAGTGATGGTGTTACAAGATAGTTGGGATATAGGCCATGTCTTCACTTCAAAAAGAAGTAAATATGAAGTTCTAGTGGAGGCAAGGAACAGGTGGTTTTTATTGTGATGTCAGTAATCAAGAGTAACATCTGGATAATGCGTATCTGTGCCTTGTCTACACAAGGAGAAAATTATCTGGCTTTAAAATACACGGTTTTTTTTCAATAAAGACATAGCCTAATCCCTTTATCTACACTTTCTGATGACCCTGGACGTACATCCTTACTTTTCTTTTTGTAGGGGATGTGACTGAATGAATCACAAATTGGGTCTCTTTGTGACACTGGAAGAAAAGTAGTTTTAAAAAATTACCCCAAACACTAACTATTTATTTTAAAATAACTGCAATATAACTTTAGGTACAAACTAATCTTAAAACTGGAACTTTTTTAGGACTTGTGATTAATCCTTTATTCCTCTCCTCCCCCCAAAGAGCAATTAATCTTCAAGTACAGCGTGGGTATTGTTCACTGCTTCACGCTTTTGCAGCTAGCTTTCTGTTACTTGCTATGGCTTTCATCCTGATAAAATTTATGCACATGCTGAAAACCTAAGTATGTGAATTGTTTTGCAGAAAATTAATCGAATGAGAAGTGTTGCATCTCCATCAGAACGAATATATCTGAAGCAGGTTGGAAAAGTTTCAGAAAAGAGCTGCAAGAATTAGTGGTCTGGAGGCGTGCCTTTTAGGGTGTGCTTTCCCTAGCTGAAAAAAAGATAACTAAAACATGGTAAAATCCTAGTGGAGACAAGACAGTTTGTAGTTTTAACATGAGTTAGCAGCTTGAGGTTTTCTCTTTAACTCAAATTGTTAACATAAAAACTACAAACTTCCTTGTCTTTTCCAGGGTGTCACCACTTGTATGGTAACACGAGTGAAGAATACATCTGTTTGCTTGCTGAATACCTGGCTTTAGAGACTAAAGAAACTCTTTCTCTTTGTCAAGTTAGGTAGTTTGAATTTAACCTTGCTCTACAAGCACTTATGTGGAGAGAATGTTTCAAACAGTAAGAAAGCTTTTTAATCTAGCACAGTCATAACGAAATCTGATGGCTGGAGGAGGAAGCTAGACAAATTCTCACTAGAGAGAGAGTACAAATATTTTACACTGACGCTAATTAATCATTTGGACAAGTTATTTACAGGTTATGATGGATTTTCCATAATTTGTTAACTTTAAAAAGAGATTAGATGTTCTTCTAAAAGATATACTGTAGTTCAGTCAGGGCTTGATGCAGGAATTACTTGTTGAAACTGTACAGCTTGTGTTATGAATGAGGTCAGACTAGAGAATCAAAATGGTCCCTCTGGACATAAAATTTATGAAAATCAAGCATCAGTGAGCTGCAGGGGATTTTTTTCTATGTAAAGGAGACGGAATTAGCCAACAACATATTTAGGCCCTAGAGCTGATGTATATGGAACCACATTAAATTTTTGTTTGTTTTTAATTTTTCCTGGGAACTCATCGTTTTTCAAGTAGATATCCTTGATGGAAGCAGAACTTGATTAATATGTATTAAGATTAATAATAATAACCTATTTTATTATATCTTTTAAACAATAGATGCCAATAATAAATTTTTTCTAATTCAATTGTTGCATAGCATGTAACATCAGACATCTGATAGAAAACTAAACCCAGTCCTGAGATAGCCAAGAGTAGACATATATAACTAATATGTCATGTTATGACCATAAACTTTGGTTTCTTTGTTTAGTTTTAAATTACTCCCCTTTTAAGGAAATGAGTTATGAAACAAACAGGCTGGCACAACTAAGAGGCTGTGGGCTCTGATAATACCCAGTTAGGAACAAGTAAGATTTGGTTTCAAAACATTATAAAAGTCTTCTTAAATATAGCTTGCCTTTTATTTTATGCTTAGTCATTATTTTAATTACTATTTATACGGAACAAGAGTTGAGCAGAGTTGGTATTATTTGTGACCTGCAGATCAGTTAATGTCCCCAAACGTAACACTTTTCCTGTGAGTCAGTGACCTTCTGACCATTCCACTGTGGCGCTAAAGGTCATCATTCAAATGTGACACAATAACCAAGCTCGTGATCACTTGTATTAAATATTCCATTGAACTTTTTGTTTAAGAATAAGGGTATTAATTCTGGTGTCCTAGCCAGACTTCAGCTCAGCCAGTTACGGTATACCTACCTGTCTTCCTGCCTAAATGTCTGCATTTTCAATTAAATACAGTATTGCTCTTCATTACATATCCCAATTTATCATATAGTATTGCCTTGTTGAACAGTTGCAGTGCCATACCATGGAGATGGATATTTCACTAGTGAGTGAAATGATCATATATAGCTCCTTATGGGCTTGACTCTGAAACCCTTAATCATATGGAATAAGAATCTACTCCACAAATGGTCCTATTGAAGTAAAATACTTATTGATATGAGTGAGTCAGCTCTAAATGAGACACAATATGGGATCCTAATAGGGATGTTAAATTTAGATTAATCAACTAATCGAAAAGTTGATGGAATTTCCATCAACTACTCGATTAATCGATAGGGGAACCTCTGCCTTTGAAATGTACCAAGAACCCTGCCAGCTCTTGCTACATTTCAAAGGTGGAAGCGCTGCCAGTTCCTTGCTGCGCTCCTGCCCATCCCCACGTGGGCTCCTGCTCCCCCCCACCTTGCTGCCTCTTTCTGATAGAGGTAGCGGGGGGCGGGGGGGAGAGTGACTAGTTGACTCACTAGTCAACTGTCTGATAAGCATATACTTATTGAATAGTCAGCTAGTCACTTACATCCCTAGATCCTATAGGCTGAGAAGTGTTATGTAAATGGAAGTTACTATTTTTCTCAAAATGCCTACCATTAGATGTTTACTATAATTCCTTGTATAATTCCCTTCAGAGTTCTTTGGAATTCTGTGTCATCCTCAAGGCATTTTGCCTTGCCCTAGAAAGAGCATGGGTTTCAAGTGCTGGGCCATTGGGGTGAACAGGTGCCAGAAGACAGGCAACCTGGTGTGTGCTCTCGCTCTGCAGAGAGGAACTATCTTCCATCATTCTTCAGAGATTTCCTTTTGGGTGGCACAAGGAAAGTCAATGGTGGGAACTTCATCCAGCCTTGTTTGCCAGAGAAGAGGTCATTGCTGTGCCTTGCCTTTTCAGGGAAGACAGAGGAAAAGAGGGTTTGAAAGCTCCTGGTTAATGCGCTTTCAACAGCAGATCTCTGTCTACAGTACTCACATGGCCCGCATTATCTGAGCCCCTCATACTCTTTAATGTGGTGATCCTCAGAGCACTTCAGTGAAGTGGGGGGAGTACAGCTGTCTCCATTTTACATATGGGGGACTGAAGCATTGAGTGAGTGAGTGAGTTGGCTATGGTCAGACAGTAAGTCTCAGGCAGAAGAGGAAATTAAACACAGCTGTTCCAAATCCTGGCCACTCTTCCTCTCTAAATCAGTGGTCCCTAGTCTCTTTCCCATTCTGAGTTGTAGGATAAATGACAGTTCTGGCGTATGAGAGTCAAACAGCATGCAGAAATAGAACACAACTCCGCATAATGAGAGGTGTTTGGAACATACTCAAGCAAAGATTATATATTCACCTTAACATCATTCAGTGCCACGTTTATACAAATTTGTTTTTTAAACCACCCATTAATTCTCTTTGAAATCAATGGGGAGGGAGGAATCCTACCAACTAACCAAGAAAGAACATTTATTGCTGGCATCAGTAAAAACTAAGGGAGAAGGAAGGCATAATCTCACAGACACAAAATGTAGAAAAAGGGAGAAAAGAAAATTTTGCTGAGTGGTCTATAGCACCCATTAAACCAGTGGTCCCCAACCTTTTGAGGTTGTCGGGCGCCAGGGGGCGTGGCCGTTTGCCCGCCGGGCGCCAGGGGGCGGGGACACTTGCGCGCCTGGGGGCGGCCCCCCCATAGCTGCATGCCCGGGGGCGGGGCCCCCCCATATCCACACGCCTGGAGCTGGTGCCCC